AAAAAAAAAAAAAAAAAGATAATTAAGAGCTAAATAGAATTAAGTTTTAAAAAATGAAGTTTAAAAGTATTCATTTATAACTTAATATGCACAACATGCAAAATAAACCATCTTAAAAAGTGAAGGACAAAACCAGGAGCGATGTTCTCGTCTCTTTTTTGAGACAGGGTCTCTGTCACCTGGGCTGGAGTGCAGTGGTATGATCTCAGCTCACTCTTACCCCCACTTCTGGGTTCAAGCAATTCTCATGCCTTAGCCTCCCAAGTAGCTAGATTACAGGCATGTACCAACATGCTCAACTAATTTTTGTATTTTTAGTAGAGATGGGTTTCACCATGTTGGCCAGGTTGGTCCTGACCTCCTAGCCTCAAGTGATCCATCCACCTTGGCCTCCCAAAGTGCTGGGAATGCAGGCATGAGCTAATGCGCCCGGCCCTCTTGTCTTTTCTTGAGATGGCTTCTCATCCCTCAAGCTCTCCAGATACTACAGGCCCCTCCCCTGACATATCTCCAAGGATGACTGGTTCCATACTTCGCGCTCTTTGAGCCTAGTTTCCTTAAAGACCTTTAAGTTCAACAAGGAACTAGGTTATGTCAGTGGCAAGTGAAATCTTTTCTATTTGAGGAGTAAGTTAACTTGTAGGTGTTAATCTCTAGAAACAAAAACAGAAAGGCTGGCTGTCCATTGGAAAACTCTTCTTGTAAATTAGCCTGCTTTACTGTGTTCCTGAGCGAAGCAGAGCTTGGGGGTGTATGTGTTCCATTCTTTGATATAAAGACTATAGGATTTGGCCAGGTGAATAGGCTCACACCTATAATCCCAGCACTTTGGGAGGCCGAGGCGGGTGAATCACGAGGTCAAAGAGATCGAGACCATACTGGCTATCACCATGAAACCCCGTTTCTACTAAAAATACATAAATTTGGACTTCCACCAAGATGGCTGAATAGGAACGGCTCCGGAGTGCAGTTCTCAGCGAGAGCAACACAAGACAAGTGATCTCCGCATTGCCAACCGAGTTACCAGGTTCATCTCAATAGGACTGGTTGGACAGTGAGTATAGCCCAAGGAGAGCAAACCGAGGCAGGGTGGCGTGTTGCCTCACCCGGGAAGTGCAAGCGGCCAGAGAAATCCCCCTCCTATGCAAGGGAGGCCATCAGGGACTTTTCCAGTCACTCAGGTTCATATATGGCACTTTTCACACGGTCTTTACATCCCATAGACCAGGAGATTCCTGCTGTTACTGACACCACCAGCCCCACAGGTTTCCAGCACAAAACCGGGTGGCCATTTTGGCCGGTGTCTGGAACACCTGCGAGACAGAACCACCCATTCCCATGAAAAAAAGGGGGCTGAAGGCAGGGAGCCAAGTGATCTGGCTTGGTAGGTCCCACCCCACAAAGACCAGCAAGCTGAAACCCACCGGCTTGAGATTTTCCGCAGGCAGCACAGCAGTTTGTGTTCGACCTGGGATGGTCGAGCTCAGTGGGGGTAGGGGTATCTGCCATTACTGAGGCAGTTCTAACCCTCCCTGTGTAAACAAAACTGCAAGGAAGTTTACACAGCAGCTGGGCACAGCCCACGACAGCTCAGCAAGGCCTCTGCAGGCAGACTGTGACTAGACTCCCTCCTTGCTCGGCAGGGCATCTCTGAAAAAACGTAGCAGCAACACATCAGGGACTTATAAATAAAGCCCCACCTTCCTGGGACAGAGCACCTGCGAAAACAGGCGGTTCTGAGTTCCGCTTCAGCAGACTTAAATGTCCCTGCCCAGCAGCTCTGAAGGGAACAATGGAGCTCCCAGCCCAGCACTTGAGTTCTGATAAGGGACAGACTGCCTCCTCAAGTAGCTCCCTGACCCCTGTATATCCAAAGAGACACCTCATACAGGAGCACTCTGGCTGACCTCTGGCAGGTACCCTTCCGGAACAAAGCTACCAGAGGAAGAAACAGGCAGCAATCCTTGTGGTTCTGCAGCTCCCCCAGGTAACTCCCAGGCAAGCAGGGTCTGGAGTGGGCCTCCAGCAATCCTGCAGCAGAGGGACCTGTTAGAAGGAAAACTAAAAAACAGAAAGAAATAGCTTCAATATCAACAGAAAGGACATCCATTCAGAGACCCCATCTGAAAGTCACCAACTTCAAAGACCAAAGGTAGATAAATCCACGAAAATGGGAAGAAACCAGCACAAAAAGTCTGAAACCACCAAAAACCAGAATGCCCCTCCTCCTCCAAGGGATCACAACTCCCTACCAGCAAGAGAACAAAACTGGATGGAGAATGAGTTTGACAAATTTACAGAAGCAGGCTTCAGAAGGTGGGTAATAACAAACTTCTCTGAGCTAAA